GAATACTAAATTGAGCTCTCTTCCGCTTTTTTGTGCATGGATGAATAAATACAGACAAAATTACATCAAAATGCGCGTTTTGGCAAATATCCTAGTAAACACAGTCGGTTAGGCATATGTCTTAACATAAACAGTTGAGAAAGAAAAGGCATGTGTATCAGTATATTAAATCCGTGCTTCGTTCAGTGAAAGCAAACTAATAATACATCTAACGTTGTCAAAGAAAAATACAAGTGCTCACTGCTCCTGACTAAATAACCTTTGTAACATCAAAAATGATTAATCTATATTTAATTTATACAGTGAAGACTATGCAGTTATTTTAGATTTCATTATTACCTTTCTGTAGTAGCGTACCTGAAAATTTATTTTAGACTGAGCTGAAAAACCTGAAAAGCACTGTTTATTGAACTTGTGTCTTTTTTCTGCTATTGCTTATAATTTGGTTATCTGTAGAAAATATTTTTAACACTGAGCCCATAGTAGCAGCCAGAATTGTTTTTCCAATTGTTTATTTTCTTTATTATCTAAAAAAAAATAAAAAAAAATTGTAGGCCTATTTTTTTGTTGTGAATGTCCCAATTGAGGTACAGGATGTGAAAATTTCAGATAAATGTTCATGTTATATATTTTGGTTGCATTTGTGAGTTAATAAAAATGTAGATGGTTGTTTAAAATAGATATATAATATCATAATATCGATATATCGATCGATATACTCTTGTATCGAATCGTAATCGTATCGTAGAATTTTTTGAGGTATCGGCAAATATCGTATCGCTGGGTATGAGAATCGATATCGTATCGAATCGTGACGAACCATCCGATTTACACCCCTATAAGAAAAGTAAGAGAAACCACTGAATAGAATAATTTTCATATATAATAAATTACTTGCACGCAGACGTGATGCGATAATAGCGCTCATTGCTTTCAGAGGTGGATGCCTGGTGTTTGGGAACGCAGTCGTGTAAGACAGTTCTGGGAGGCAATTATCCACAAATATAACAACATTTCAGATGTTGTGCAACGAGATCGGTCCGCTGGTTAGTCAGGTTATGCCATCCCGTAGCGCAAAGTCACATGACTTCTTGATGCGCATGAAGGAATTTATTCGCAAAATGAGCTTAATTTGAGACACTTCATCGTTGTTGAATCTCCTTTTAATCTCTTTGCATTCTAGGAGAAACATTAGAGGCATTAAAGAGATTTATTTATACTATAATGGTGAACTTTGGTATCTGCAAATATGAGCTTAGTGTGAGATATTGTTGAGATCTCTTCTGAAGCTCTAGGAAACACATCTGAGATTATTTTCTCAGACATTTAACTGAGCTGCAAGACACTTTATCTCTGTTTAATCTCTTTCTAACCTCATTGGGAAACATTTGAGACATTAAAGAGGAAAAGGGAAAATATACTTTAAATATAAAATTGCCAGTAGGTGGCGGCAAATCACTGCATGAGTGAGTCATTGAGTCATTCATTCAACTGATTCATTCAAACGGCTGATTGATTCAGTAACAAAACATTGCCGAGTTGCTCAGAGACACAAAACAGTCCTGTTTGAAACTATTTTCGTTGACGTTAAAATGTCGATTAATATTAACTTCTTGTTTATTGGACTGTTTTATAAAATCAATATCACATTTGCAATCATACTGATATTTGGGGAAAAAACTGTACTCTTCGTGTTATATTAACTATATCAGATGACAAATATAAAAGACATATAAAAGTCAATATCTTGAACGTTGGGGGAACTCGAAATGTATTTTAAAAGACTAAATCATGCAGTGAAAGCGTGAACTCTAAATGTGCTCGTGCAGTAGTCTAACCTGAGCTGCAAGACACTTAATCTCTGTTCAATCTCTTTCTAATCTCATTGGGAAACATTTGAGACATTAAAGAGGTCTCATTTGTATAAGGATTTTTTTTTTTTTTTTGCCTGTACGTAATTTGGATTTTTATTTTTGGTTGCAAACTTTGGTATCTCTGCACATATGAGCCTAGTGTGAGACGTTGTTGAGATCTCTTCTGAAAGTGATTACATGTGTCTTTTACTCATGAGAAGCATTTGAGAAGCATGATGTACGCCTACTAACTTCTGTTTAATCTCTTTTTGATCCCATTGTGCTCAAGGAGAAAGATTTGAGACATTAAAGAGATCTCATTTTTTCCTCATGAGAAGCATGACACTTCATTTCTGTATTATCTCTTTTTAATCTCATTGCATTTTAGGAGAAGCACTTCTCTCGCACACTTTCTCCTCTTTTGTCCGTATTTTTGTTTGTTGCACTTTTCCAATTACGTTAATGTCTTCTCGGTTTCTCGCAATCATCATTTGGTGGCCACGCAAGCATGCGCCTGCTGTTATTAATCCTTCACGGGCGTCTTCAGGTGTGTGTCATTTATCTTTGTTAATATTTCCTCTGGATGCCAGCTGGGTACCTGTGCCAGCCGGCTCTGAAACTGGGCATGAGACTCGGCATGCGGATCGCACCGGGCCGGGCTTTTTTCCTCCGCCTGTAGTTGCCGGGTAACGGCGCGCTTGGGAGAAACCGTCTGTCCTGCGGAAAATGAGACACTTTTGTTTTAGCGTCTCCCCCCCTGCAAAAAAAACCCCTCCTTAACTGTGAGAGGGGGCGACTTATTTAAGACAAGGACTCTTTTGTTTTAGCCTGTGAAAGGCGGCAGACCCCGCTCTCCTCCGCGGGGAAGCCTGCGACCAGGGGCCGCCGCGTAATTGGCCTATTTAGCTTGTTTTGCATGTGAATGCGGCTCTAGTCAAGCATCGCTAAGTCTGTTGTGAGAGCTGCCGTCATTTGAATTCAGCTCAGCGCAAACATTCTCCATACTTTATCACATCCTCTAATGAGCCCGGCCCGGGACGTTACCCCCCCGAGTGTCCCTAAAAAGTTCGGGAGGAAGTTTACGTTACGTCTCGCACCCGGGGCTCACGCTCTTTCCCGGATCAGACTTCCGAATGCGGGGCAAACGTCCACCCGCTCGCCTCTCTTCTTTCAGCCACCTTTCTTTTCTTCCGTAGAACTGGAATGAGTGAACGAGCTCTCGTTAGCTGGGCTTGATTAGCAGAACTGTGTTAACTGAGAATAGGGTAATGATGAGAAGAGTTTGTGCGGGGTAAGTGTGCTCGCTTTGGAGCTTCGCTGGGTCACACACACACACTCGCAGCGATGCTGGATTGATGTCTGAACTTCCTGAATTTACATATTTGAAAAATTGTGGCTTTAATTATGAAGGTCAAATCGTCTTTTAATTGTCACAACTTTTAGAATCTAAATGAAAGGACTTGTTTGATTTTGAATTAAATATGGTGCACTTTAATAGAACATTGCATCAGTTTTTTTTTTTTTTTTTGCAACAATTCCGACATTACAAGCATGTGTTTGTAATTTTCTGTCATTATTCATGATGAAATTATGAAGGTTAAATTGTCTTTCAAATGTCATAACTTTTTGAGTTTTTAAAAAAAAATATTATGTGCTTTTATACAACATTGCATCACTTTTTAGCACAAAATTGACATTTCAAGCATCTGTTTGTTTATTTCTGTCTTTTTTGGATCAAATTATGAAGGTCGAATCTCTTTTAAATGTCAGAACTTTTATAATCCTAATTAAAGGCATTTTGACTTTTTTTTTAATATTGTGTGCTTTAATATATTGCATCACTTTTTTTTCAAAAGTTATGACATTCCAAGCACGTGTTTGTATATTTCTGTCATTTTTGATGTAATTATGAAGGTCAGTATGTCTTTTAAATGTCACAACTTTTATAATCCTAATTAAGGGGCTTTATTTGAATCTTTTTCAAATATTGTGTGCTTTAATACAACATTGCATTACTTAATTTATTTTAGCAAAAAATAAATGAATTTTTATTTAATTTATTAAAATTAAAAAATTTTCTGTTTTGTTTTTTTAAATATTGTGTGCTTTGATACAACATTGTATTACTTTTATAGCAATATATATATATATATATATATATGACATTTCAAAGAATCTGTTTGTATATTTCTGCCATTTTTTATGAAATTGTGGCTTTAATTATGAAGGTAAATGTCAATTTTATAATCTTAAAGCCCTTTTTATTTATTTATTTATTTATTTTGTGCCTTAATACAACATTGCATTATTTTTAGCATAAAAATTGACATCTCAAGCATCTGTAAATTTCTGCCAGTGTTGTTTTTAGTTGTGCAGAATTTAATCTGGCTGCAGAATTTCAATGTATTCTAAAACATTTATTGATTTAATATCTGTGTAATTCTATATTTTGTGTTTCTTTGTCAAACACTGCAGCTGATGTCTTGAAAACGTTGGTTTTCTCTGACGTCTTTCTCTGCTTGTGTCTAACTTCAGGAATGTGTGGCGTCTTTCTTTGTTAATTGAATCGTTTTAACCTAATCGAATGTCTCTAATGTGTCTGTCTGCTGGTGTTTGTGTCCAGTCGAGTCTCATGGGAGGCGAGGTGGGGATGGTCAGTCCGGAGACGGTGTCTCCCACCAAACTGGGCTCCCAGTATTACCAGCATTACGCAGGAAACCCGCGGCGACGAGCCCTTCACAGCGACTCCATGGGTGAGCCTTCATCACCACCATCATCATCATCAACTGCTTAATTCATTATAAAAACCTGCTTTATTCTTAAAGTCCTTGCATTTGTTTCACAATGTCAGGATCTTAAAGAACATGTTTTCATTTGTTATTTTTTAATCTCTTCTGTCAAAAAGAGCTTGCAGTGATTATTGATTTTTTTTCTCTTTTTATGCATTCAAAGACCTTTGTTTGTGTTTCTAACAATGCATCAACCCTCGGGCCTTGAGGTGTCAACCTTCAGGGCAAATCACACACGCTTTTATTTCTGTCAGAAACGCACACGACTGTCTGTCACATACTGAACTGTTTCATTGTTTTGTTGCATTTAAAGGCAACTTTTATCATCAATCATGTTAAATATCTCGCCCGTCTTTGTTTTTTCTAGAAGTCCAGACGAAAAAGGTTCGGAAAGTTCCTCCCGGATTGCCCTCATCAGTAAGTCAGTGTTTAATACATGCATGCGATGAACATTTTTCACCTGAGCTTGACGTTGAAGCATTGAAACGCTTCTGTCAGTTGCATGTTAAAGTCAGACTTCAGCTCTCCAGTCAAAAGGCAGCGAGGCCGTGCTCGCGTACAATAGCGTGTGAGTGTGTATTGTGTGTCGCGTGAGGCCCGGTTGTGGCGGACGGGCCGTTTAATGCATCGCTAACGACGCTGGAATTTCCCCGCGGGACGTCCTGACGGTATTGTGCTGTAGTTCTTTAAGAGGCAAGACAGAAAGAGCCGCGGCATAATGGAGTCCTGATGGGACGCTTTTTAAACACGGCCAGAGGCTCGTCTCTGTGAAGGTGATCGCAGGTCTGACGTGTGTGTGGAGTTATTCCAGCGCAGGTGTTTCTGACACGGGAAACACTTTCACCCTCATGTGACTCATTAATGCCACATACGGCACCGACACACGCCTGTGTTTGAGCTGCTTTGGCTGTTCAGATACGAATACCATTAGACACGCTTACTCTGTCTGTGTGTGTGTGTGTGTGTGAGTGAGTGAGGGTGTGTGTGTGTGTGTGTGTGTGAGTGAGAGTGAGTGAGTGTGTGTGTGTGAGTGAGTGAGGGTGTGTGTGTGTGTGTGTGTGTGAGTGAGAGTGAGTGAGTGTGTGTGTGTGAGTGAGTGAGGGTGTGTGTGTGTGTGTGTGTGTGAGTGAGAGTGAGTGAGTGTGTGTGTGTGAGTGAGTGAGGGTGTGTGTGTGTGTGTGTGTGTGAGTGAGAGTGAGTGAGTGTGTGTGTGTGAGTGAGTGAGGGTGTGTGTGTGTGTGTGTGTGTGAGTGAGAGTGAGTGAGTGTGTGTGTGTGAGTGAGTGAGGGTGTGTGTGTGTGTGTGTGTGTGAGTGAGAGTGAGTGAGTGTGTGTGTGTGAGTGAGTGAGGGTGTGTGTGTGTGTGTGTGTGTGTAGGTTGTTGGAAATCAGGTTTTAATGTCTGAGAGAATTTGTGTGGACATCAGTTTTAGAGACCAGTTCATTTATTATATTTATCAGTAATAATATTATTATTATTATAATTAATAATTATTGTAAAAAATAAATTGTAATTTTACAAACTATTACATATTTAATATCTGTAATATTTTAATAACAATTATACTTATTTACATCATATGCTAATTATTTATTATTTACAATAAATAATAATGATTAATTGTAAATAAAAATAATATTATTATACAATTAATCATTATTTACAAATAATTATTATTACTAATTTAAATAATAAATCATTATTTTATAATGATAGTACTGTTAACTCATAATAAATTATATCTGATGGTGGCATTGTATTTATTTATTGAGTTTATACTGATTTCATGTCGACAAACATTTGAGACATTTTAACATTTTCTCAGCAGTCAGTGGAATTACTGTTTACTAATTTAACTGCACACATTATTAATTTAGAGCAATTAATATTTTTTGAAATCCATTTAGAAATCTGTTCCCTTTATTTAAAAATGCACAAAATTGTTTCTTTTTTCTTTTTCTTTTTTTGTATATAGAGAAGTGGTTTGGCAAAAATACAAACATTTCATATTTATACTCTAAATTTAGCTAATTATATCTGTGTTGTATTATATCTTTATATAATAATATGTGTTGCTGCAGTTTTCAGATAATAAATGTGCTAAAGCAGCTCTGTGGTGTTTTTGGTTACACTCATGCATGATAATAGAAATATTTCTGAAGGATTTTCATTCATGTGTGCTGAGTAAATGTAATGCACAGGATCTTTGTTCATGTTGAGCAGACGGCTGTTGAGTTGCTTTTATTGGGTTTGTGTGCCCCGTGTGCTTCTCAGTTTGTCCGATTCGTTCGGTGTGTTTTTGTGGCTCAGTTTGTTCAGTAAGAGACCAGAAGCTTTAGAGTAAAAATAAACGTGCTGAAGGAGAAAATGCAGCTCTGTTCATCAGAACAACATGAGATTTTAGAAATGATGATTTCTGTGAATTAACATCACAGCTGTTTCTGATTTCACTAAATCATATGTGAAAGAACTGTGAAAGGATGGTGTTATTGCTACATAAATCATTGATTTTTATTTTATTTTATGATGTTGTTTTTTAAAATGCATGTAACTGTACAATATTTTCTTTCTTCGTATATTCCCAGCATGAGAAAAATGATGTTTGGCATGGTTTCCCATGATTTTAACTCCGTCTGATTGTGTTTGTCATTGCGTTTCATCCGCTCAGATGTTTCTGTATCAGAACGTTCTGCCGTTTCTGCTCGTCTGCGCTCACATCGGATTGTTTAAAGTATACAGCGTTAATTAAATTAAGTTTGGTCTAGCAGAATGCTCAGTTGGGACGTGATCTCTCCGGCACGGATCCATTTCCTGAGCTTTTCCTCCCCCTTCAGGCTGTAAACGGCACTGCGGCATGAGTTTAGGGCCCGTCTGACTGACGCTCCTTTTGTTTCTTAATTTACTGTAGCTTTCTTTAAATATTGAGTCTGATTTGAAGATGCTCTGTGGAGTTTTGGGTGTGATTATTCATGCGATCACGTGTCTGCTGATTTGCACCGGACAGAGTGTTTCACCTGTGCTGAGAGGGAATGTGGAGTGTTATGGACGGATGTTCGAGTGTTTGTGGTGATGTTGTTGTTTTATAAAGATGAATTGTCTGTCTGTGTGTTTTAATAAGTCAGAACAGCACAGGTTTATGGCAGTAAACACACTTTAGTGTTTTTTAATTGTCCTCTTGTGGTTTCTGCCACCATGAGAGAGCATATGCCCCACAATGACATCTACAGACAATGTTTGTGTGTGTGTGTGTGTGTGTGTGTGTGCGTGTGCGTGTGTGTGTGTGTGTGTGTGTGAGTGAGTTTGTGCATGCGATGTTTTAAATGAACAGGTTAAACACGCTACCCTGATATGTTCTTCATAACATTATCAAACCGATTTCATTATATCATTTGATATGATGCCATATTTTGTATTATTATATTCAAAAATAAGAAGAGCTCCAGTCTTAAATCTGTGCATTAACTTGATTGTCATTGTTAAAAGCAAGTGTCACAACATTTGAGAAACATTTGCAAATTTGCACAATTATTTTCATGACCATTAAATGTTTTCCTTTTCAAGAATTAATGCTTTCCTTTTCCGTTTTTAAAAACTCTCACTATTTTCAATCAAGACTGTCATTTGATTGTCATTACTGTACTACAATGATTTTTGTATTTAAATAAGCATAAATTAAATGCAGAACAAAAATGCTACCATGATCTATAAATGCTTTATAATTCGGGTAATATGTAAATCTGTTAATATCTTGTTTTTGTGCATTTCAGTAATGAGAATTAAAATGTGCTTGGTTGTTACAATTAAAAAAAGAATAAAATAGTAAAGTGAGAAATTATTTTATTAGTAGTAGTAGTAGTAGTAACTGTGCATGAAGAAAAAAGAGTATTTTAATAGACTTCTTCTTTTTTTTTAGCTAAATTTAATTGATTTCTTTTGTTATTGTTTTTGAGGTGAAATACGGCCTGGGCATGTTCTTGACAGGTTTTGTGTTCTTAATTGAATATGTCAGATTTAATGTAATCCGTTCACATTGAAAAATACAGATTAATGTGAGGGATTTGTGACTGTAGTGTCACTGGACATCAACAAAACACACAAAAAAATGACAACAACGCTAACATCAGCTACCAAAACACGAATGAAGCTGCGTTTCTGTTTCTGATGCTCTTGTTGAAGGCAACGATAAGAACAAGAGTGATTGGGGTGGGGGGGGGTTCAGGTGGGTCTCCATGGTGACGGGCATATAGTTTTGGAACAACACTGAGGGTGAATAAATGATGACAGAATAATCGTTTTCAGCTGAACTGTCCCTTTAAGAGTGTATATATGAGTTATTGTGTGTTTCAGAGTCGTCGCGTTTCAGGGAAATATATGAATGGTAGTGTAAATGTGTAAATAAACGGCAGTAAGTCGTATTCTCAGCCCGATTCACCTGTTAGCCCGTCCAGGAAAGAGAAGCAGAGAAGAATGTAGCAGTAAATGATCTCATGGTGGGGGTTTTTTGGTTCTTTTTTTTAAGCGAGTGGAAAGAAATAGCAGAAACAGCTGCGTGTGTCTGGCTGCGGGCCCAGCAGAGAAAAATCCTCCGTATGAAATAAACGGTCAGATTTAATTCAGTCCTGCCAAAAAACCAAGACGTGAACATATCAGAGCCACGTCCCCGTGTCCCTTCGTTTGGTGTGGAAAAAGGCCAGCAACGTGTTTCTGAAAGGCTTCTGTGTCGTCTATAAATAGAGTTTTGTTTTTTGAGGCGCAGTGATTTTAACGGCAGTCACAGGCAGCTGGATTTCTTCTCTTGAGATCTTTAACGGAGAAAAATATTCACGATTTTCTCCACCGTAACACAACAACACACCTGCTGACAGAGAGACGATCACATTCTCCTTTTGCTTTTCTTCAAATGTTCTCAGATTTGCAAGATATCACATATCAAGTTTGCATTTGCAAAAGTCAGAGAATATGTTTTACTTGCATGGATATTTTATTTTTATTTGCATTATTATTGCATTATTTGCATTTTATTTGCATTATTTGCATATTAATTTTTATTATAAGATCTTTTACTTGACATAAGTATTGTATTAATTTTATTTGCATTGAAATTTTTTTACTTGATTTTCCTATTTTTTCCTTGCATGCATATTTTTTTACTTGACATGAATATTCTAATATTTTTATTTGCATTTGTATATTATTTTTTTTACTTGACATGATTATTATATTGTTTTACTTGCATAAATATTCTCATTTTTTACTTGCATTATAACTGTAAAATATTTTTTTATTTGCATGAATATTTAATATTTTTTACTTGCATAAATATTCAGTTTTTTTAATTTGTTTATTCTAATAACTTTGCCTAAAGATTCCAATTTTTTGTACTTGGCTAGATATATTAGATATATTCTATACTTGTG